TGCGCTCTCTCTCTCTCTCTCTCTCTCGCTCGCGCACACACACAAAATTGCTCGTTCCACACACACACACAGAGCCGAGCTCGAATGAAACACCGAGAACCAGACATACTTGTACTGTTGCATATTATGTTTTGATAAATAATTGTTCAAATTATGAAAAATAATTTTGTCATAACAATTTTTCCTCCTGGTCTCTTGTGCCCCCCTGTCATGCCTCTGCGCCCCCCACTTTGAGAAACACTTCAGTAGAGACACAGAATACAATNTCTGTTGCTCTCCCTGAGGATTCTCCCATTTTTCCCTTTAAACTGTGGGGTTTTCTCCGGAGGTTTTTTCCCTTGTACGATGTGAGGGTCAAAGGACAGAGGGTGTCGTATTGTCATACTGATATTCTGTACAAACTGTGAAGTCCACTGAGACAAATGTAACATTTGTGATATTGGGCTATATAAATAAACATTGATTGATTGATTGATTGATTGATTGATTGATTGATTGATTGATTGATTGATATTTTAAAGAAAATTCAGATTGAACATAGAAAACAATTCTTTTTTACTTATAGTGAAAACCACCCTTGGATGATGTTAGTAGACTAAAAGCTTTAGGAATCCAAAGAACAACATATAATAAGTACCCTGTATCAATATTGATGCAAAACAAGTGACATTTTACCTTTTTAGAGAGGTTTAGCAAAAAAAACTCCACCTCTCGGGTCATTTAGGTGGAAATGGGCGTATTTGCCGTTTCTCTGGAACCTATTGGTCGATTGTGATGATTGACATCTCTTTTGAACCGTTAGAGCCAATAGAATCAAAGGGGGATTTCAACATACACACACACGTTACCATTGAGAAGTGGGGGGGGGGCTATGCGCAGGCAGTTTGCCCAAAGTGAAACCCATCTTACGCTCTGAAAATCTGAAAACTTAAAACTAGGTTTATTGCTGATGGATTATCAGAAATAATTTCAAAGTGACACAGACATATTGGATTAACCTATGGATTAACCTTCAGCAGCGTTTTTATCGTTGTAATGCCATTGAAGACAACTTTTTATCAGACAACAACAAAGGTATTGCCATGTTTGCTACCTAATGCCACGTGTTGTGATGTCTGTTTTTGTTTCTCATGTCGCGAGTTTTGATCATGGAGTGATGATACAGATACCTATCGAATCTGTGTAATCTCACAATGCTAATCAATGGATGTGCATTTTGGATAAGTAATAAGGGTTTTATACCGTGAGTTCTGTGCTAACGGCGTTAGCATTTTTTCGCTCAGGGCTAATTCAGATGCTCAGCGTTAGTCTTATGTTTTTTTTTTGCTAAAAATGGTTCATATCATCAGTTAGCTGAGTTTCTTCCCGTTACATGGATTATGAAACATTCATAGTTTATTAAATATTAAGAAGCCCTCAGACGCTGTTTCCTGCAGATGATGCGTTTTTCCCCCCGCTGGCGGGCGGATGGGGTTTAACAGGTTAAAAAAAAAAAGGAGGGCGCTGAGCTCATGCAGGAGATTCTACCGGCAGATACTGACGTGATGAAATGCCATATAATGGATTATCAAGGATTATTTCTGAAACAGTATGGAGCTCAAAGGTTTTCTCTCTTTCCAGTTATACCACAAGGTGAGTTCCTTTTTATTTCCTGCTTCTTCACACACATGCTCTGTGCAGTACAGGTTAGCTCTGAGTGTTAGCGATGTAAACATGCACCGTCCAAAACAGTCGGGCATTGTTTCTGATAGCAACATTTCTGATAGGGCCGTGGGTGTAAAGCCAGCCTACATTTCCGATATTACGTCATATCTGACGCAAATTGTTTTTTTTAGAGATTTGGGAATGGAGGAAAAGAGAGAGGGTTTTATTTTCTGACGCTGCGTGAGTTCCCTGACACACCGGGGGCACATCTTTATGTATAAAAGATATCAAAAAGTGAATTTTGCATGATAGGTCCCCTTTAAAGTCTCAGTACATAATTCCAGGTCTCTTGAAAAGCATGTAGCAGCACCTACCGTATAGATGCTAACGGTTCAGTAAGATGCTCCACCTGCGAACTTGAGTATCATTCTATCCAACCCCGTAAATCAGAGTTACTTACCAAAACTGGTCATTCCACTGCCTGCCTTGTCAAACAGCAGGAAGGCGACCATGTAGAGCGAGTCTGGAGCGCACAGCACCGACTCGAATGCTACGAACTCCTGAAAGGAGATCAGCCTGAGAGAAGGGTAGAAGAAAGAGGATATGTAAGAGCTGTGAAACATTGGTGAATGCTGTCATTTGAGTTGATTTATTAATGTGCTATTCAAGTTTCAACTTCTCTGTGTAAATACTTAATCAGCTACACCTGTGAAACACACTCTCTGATATTAATTTAGTCATATAATACATAATAAAGACTTAAGCCAAGTTGTACTAATAAAATGATATATTAAATGCAAATCTGGATATTTTTAACACATGCACAATTGCATTAAACTCCATTGTAATTACTGCCACACAGTGGCAAACCAGCACACGGAGACAACCCATCAATCCGTGTTACGCACAATCCAAGAGGCCTTTTATCCAGGAGTCTGTTATTCCACGTGTAATGTCATAAACTCATTGAGCGTGATGGCAAGAAAATAAAGAAAATGCTAAAGCTCAGTGTGTGTTCCCAGTCGGAGCTGGCAGCTGGTACAGAGAAAGCTAACTTTACAACAGCAGAAGAAAAGAAAATGAAATTTGAAGTTTTATATTTTAGTGTGTCATTTTAAACAAGTAGACAGGAGAGGAGGGAGCTGGGAGTAAGTTAAGGAAATATAATCCATCTCAATATAAACGTAATACAAAGAACGGAGTTTAGAGTAAAAGTCAAGAAAAGCAAAGCTGGAAAACAAAAGTAAAATGGGGAAAACTTTTGTCTGCATTAACTCTGAAATAAAAGCTTTAAATTAAATGTAAACACACCAGATACGTGTTATCTAATTATACTGCTGCCTCTTTTACCGAGTTAGTCAGTCAGTTGTCAGCGTTTTGTTAAATACTATTCTATCACCTGTCACTCTATAGTAAAACAAATGCCCACATGCATCAATAACAGGAAATAAACATAAACATCTCTATTGTGTGAACCTACTGAGAGCTCCTGCTGTGGAGAACTGGACCACGCAGTCTAGCCTTTATTCAGGCCCTGGTTCACTGTTGCCACAAGTCCATTATGAATTTCACAAATGGCTCCGATAATTACAGACGGGGTCAGTGTTGATGCAGTCCCCGAGCATCCATCTATTAAACCTTTTTCAATTTCCAAGGGGGGAGTATAGGGGGTGCAATGATTACATTTTTTATTCATTATTGTGCTGATGAAATTGAGATGCATTTGTTTGGACTGTTTGACGTGGGTGCTTATGTGCATCTTTATATGTACTTAAAAAAACATTATATATATATATATTTTTTTTTAAAACAGGCTGAGAAACAGATGCAATTTGCACTGACAAAATGTTATTTAGAAAACATATTACCAGTAAGAAATATCAAATTAGTAACTGCCTATTCCATGTTTAGATTACTTTCTTTTTTAGTCTGCAAAAATGCCAATTTAAAAAAAACAAGAGGCCGAAAACAGTCCCAAAATATTCAGACCCACACTTGGTTTGAGTAAAAACTAAGTAAATATATGTGTATGTGGGAGAAAGAGCATTAGAGAAAAATGTAGAGTGAATAAATCGAGCATACAGTCCAATTAATTCTACCTATGCTGTAAAATGTATTATCCCTTCGATTTACACACGGCATCTATTGCACGTCTGTCCGTCCTGGGAGAGGGATCCCTCCTCTGTTGCTCTCCCTGAGGTTTCTCCCATGTTCCCCTTTAAACTGTGGGTTTTCTCTGGAAGTGTTTCCTTGTACAATGTGAGGGTCTAAGGACAGAGGGTGTCGTATTGTCATACTGATATTCTGTACAAACTGTGAAGTCCACTGAGACAAATGTAACATTTGTGATATTGGGCTATATAAATAAACATTGATTGATTGATTCAGTGGCAAATTAATCAGCCGTCATTTTTGCAAAGGAAAGCTAATTGTTTTATTACCTAAGCAGTTAGTTCTTAAGAGCGGGGCCCTGCTGATGGCAGGTAGGTGGGAGGGGGCACAAAAGCACACTGCTGTGGCCGACCGTGGATCTACTGCTAAAAACAAAGCTAATAAAATGTTTGCTCACACTGCTGGAATATTATCAAACTGTACAGTAATGATCCTGCTTTTGTGACAGAGGTATAGTACACTCTGGAATTATACCTCAGAGAGGCTAATTAAGAAATGTAGTGCAAAGACTCAGAAATCACAAATGTTCCCAGGCGGAGCGGAGGGAAAAAGTAAAATGTTTCTTTTTCACACGCATCGTTTTACATGCACGCTGGTCGTCCCGTCTGTGTTTTCCCAGACGCGGATAATCAGTATATTATTGTAACTGAGATGGCTGCTGATCATGGAGGGATTGGACCATGGTTTAGACCAGGGAGCGCAGACAAGATCCAGGGGGCATCTCCATAACACACACGAGAAACATTCCACGTACTCGTAAGCATTTACACACAGCTCTGTAGCCGGGGATGAAGCTTATGATGGTTGATTAGCAGCGCCATGACGGCTGCAAAATGATTACAATGAGAGGGGGAAGCCATCGGTTTCTGCTATGCCGACCCAACCCCAATGAGACGCTCAAAAATCAAATCCTCCAACAGCATCTCCCAACCATCAACTGCTATGGCATGTGTCCAGGGCTGCCCGGGATGAACTTCGGAGTCAGGAATAATGTGATACTGTAGCATGGCATCTCTTCAGCGTACTGTGTACTCACTTTACTCTGCAGGATTTTGTTGAGTCTCCAAACAGACATATTCGTGACGTGTATCAGATGGGAGACGTAACACACACGACATAAACAAAGACTTGATTCTAGCATGTGTCTTTACAGATGACAGCTCAATGATGTTTTCCCTAGGATGCCAAAACAATCCAATTTAAACTGTCTTCGCTAAGTTGGTCCGGCATAACAATTCCACCCCATTTTCCATATATTCGTGTTTGTTTTTATCTTATGTTTGCCAAATGGCTTTTGTCTCCGTCTCCTCTCAGTAGGCATCTAAATACACTCCTCTGAACCGAAAAACCAGGCGCCGAAACGTTGTTTACAAGTAACATAAATGCATGGTGTTGGTTGGGCCCGGCTGATAGAAAGACAGCTCTCCTCCGTTGATAGTAGTGGGAGAGGGGAGCCTAGAGGGGCTTCAATAATCCCCTGTCCCTGGCATCCTGGCATTGTTACTGACAGCCTTCCACCCACCTGGAGCGAGCTTGCACACAGACACACACGTCCCAAAAACACACCCAGATGAGTGCAAGCTGCCAGTATCTGTTCGGTTTCTAAGAGTGGACACCTACCAGTACAAGTCTAGAATAACCACAGCAGCTGGCAGACTGCTATCTTCCCAGCAAGCAACCGTAACAACTTTTTTCTCCCTTTTAAAACCTCCAAGAGTATATGAGGGGGAGTGGGGTTTTCCACACCTGAACAGAGGTTTGTATCAAAATATCAGAGGGAAGATGGAATAGAGAAGCAGAAAGGTAGGGAGTCTGAAGGAAATGAAATGGATAAAGCTCAGAGTGCATTACGGTGTATTGCGAGTGTATAAAGAGACAGGGATGGTAGCAAAGGAATGCATATGAAGTTAAAAGCAAAATAAGAAAAGAGGACATAAATAGTAAAAGGAGAAAATCTGCTAACCATCTTGTGGCTCTGTGTGTCAGTGCATACACACATAACCATTTTATTCCTGGAAATGTACACATCTCCACAGTCTCTCTCTCCATCTGTCTCTGTCTCACTGCCAGCGGTGAGAATAAGAGGGAGAAAGTGATTTCCACGTAACAGATTGTTACGACTGTCACTATATCCCCTGATTTACACAGTGGCAGGGAGGATGACAAATGCATTTTCTCTGTTTATATCACCACACATACACACCAAACCAATAACATACACACAATGGCATCTAAGTAAAATATCTCTCACATAGATCAACTCCAACAGAAAAGTAAAACGAGCGCGCTGCCTGCTATCCGACCCCCTGCTAAATCTATTACCCAGACTCATCTTGTTGAAATGGAGTCCTATCTGGCAAAAACAGCAGCAAGCGTACTGGCTTCAAATACACTACCCCTCATGTACCAAACTTATTGTTCAAAAACATATTTGCATGAGATAGGGCGAGCTGAATGAAAATAAAGTCACTAAAGTGGTTCGTTTTGTCTTGTGCACCGTTCTTTTCATAAGGTTTGCCCGAATGAGCGCTTGAAAAACAATGCGTTTGTGTTTTCAGCTACCACTGACAGTGCAGCATATCCACTTTTTATATCCATTTGGTTTGTATTCACGAGACACAGGTTTGCCGAATAATCATCGAGACTCTTTGTCTCACAGAATCATTCATCTATCAAAGATTAGTAGAAAAATAACACATCACAGAGAATGAGCATCATGAAGCTTTTCCAATGTCAACTGTAAAAAAAAACAAATCACATCCAAACCTGGGTCTAAACAGACTTTTTTTCCTGTTTTGCCCCCATATCATTTCCATTCCCCTCCACAAAACCAAAATGAGGTTTAGATACAAAGCCTGGGCCATGGGTTCCTAATAGATTTACCCTGATGCCACGGCCACCATTTATCCTGCTCCAAAGCCACACAATGCAACAGAGTGCTCCTGAATAGCATGGGCAATTACAGTGCATGTGTGTGTTTTTGTATCAGTGTGTGTGTGTGTGTGTGTGTGTGTGTGTGTGTGTGTGTGCACGTGCATTGCTCTCTTTTTTTTCCAATTCCAAAACCCCCACTACTCCATCTCAGCGTCCTATGTGTGTGCACACACACACACACACACACACACACACACACACACACACACACACATAAACTCTCTTGTGGCTGAATTCTGGCTAGTGACTCCCTACACACACACACACACACACACACACACACACACACACACACACACACACACACACCTTAAAGCAGATGTAATAACATGAAGCTACGCAGCCATGTGCACTTTGCTCTTTGTAGAAGCCCAGGTGGTTACCATGGCAATGTAAAAAAAAATCTTTTTTGACTTAACATTTTATTACCCATCATTATGTATCATTAAATACATACATATTAATGTAAAAAAACAGGGGTGATGGGGATGGGGGGGAGGAGTAAGTGTGAAATTGGGGGTGTATCTACAAAGAAGGAAACACCTGAAAGGGGCCTTTGGTGGTTTGATGTCTCTGATAATTCAAGTATGAACATCCCTCTGTGAATTTTTTACACCAAAGGATTCAGGCATAGGTTTATTTATTAAATGCAAAATAACACTAGAGAGGTAGTCACACGAGATCAAAGGGATAAATAACGTGTACTGATAGCTTTGATAGGCTTACTAGTTAGGAGTTGGCTTAGTGAGAGGAGATGAATTTGTGGCTTAAACAGAAACTCAGCATAGCAATTTCAGTCATATCGGCCTCTTCTGCCAGAGATGTATTCAAACAGTATAATCCTCATAAGACACTGCTTATGATCCCCTATTTTTTACTGATTTATAAAAAAATATATTGCTGTATTTACCCTCTATCGGTCATATTTTGGCGTCATACATCTTTTCATTCATAATAGCCGATAATCCATATTCACTTCAGCTAATAATAGCAGATAAATATGAGAATCCTAACCCATCTTTCTTTTGATCCACGACTCCAGCCAGCAGCTTCGCGGCCTCGTCCAACAGCCGGATGTCTGTGTGGGCATGGAGGAAGCGGCTCACAAAGTCCTGTGGCGACATGAAGCTCTCCTCATTCTTCTTGACGTTGGCATACTGTAAAGTGAAAAAACGGATACAGAAACAAGGCCACATGCTGAGCTTTAGAATCTGATTTAAAATATAAAGCTTTTTATAAAGAGGCAAGCACAAAAGAGCAAACACAAAGTATATAGGTAAAACGTACCTTTTCAAAAATGGCTTTCAACTCAGTGGGGTCGGCCCTCCTAGGCAGAACTGCCTGCAAGACAATAAATTACATTACATTACATTTAGTTAGATTAAATTAGGTTTTGTCAAATGACTTTTATACACATTGCCCCACTTTTGCATGTATTGTTTGAAGTACGCTGCACAACAGAGGTTTGTGTTATTTTTGATTGAATACTGTTAGGGGCCTTAAGCATCCCGTAATTAACAAGAAAAGAGAAATATTGCAAAAAAACTGACTAACTACACATCATATTGGGCTTGGAGGCAAATTCTTTGGCCTGAATCGCAGATAAAATACTCCAAACTCAATGTCCAATAATAAGCTTTGTATGGTGGGTTTGACTATCAACTATAATTTTACTTGTGACAGTCCGAAAATATTTCAAAAGCTGTAACAAAAGTTAGAAAGCGAATGGTTCACCATAAACCTAATTTAGTTAGGCAGAAATATATATCTTGTGGTGTTTTTCTCTCCTGTTAATAATCTTGTAGCGCTTCAGATCTTTATTGTGACATTAACTGTTCTTTAGTAAGTAAGATGCTCCTTCTGGTGTTATACTTAAAACATTTTTTAAAGCAAAGTGGCTAGAAGGAAATGTCCAATTATCCAGCTTTGAAGTGTACAGAATGTAAACAAATAGGCTTCCATGACAGTAGCATACAGCCATGTTTAAACTTCCCTTCAAACCTGTAGAAACGTTTTGCACCTGCAAGTAGTTAACGTTAATAAATAGGATGCCAAAGCATATAGCATGATGCTAACCAAGGTTACCTGTCACTACCTGAACTCATTTAGCAGGGACACACCTGTTGACTGATGCCTGATATAAGTAGCGTGCATTCAAATCAGCAAGAGTGTAAATACTGCTCTTTGTTTGCAACAATATTGAAATGACAGTTCAGTATAAATGGGGAACTGTTAGCTAACTCTTACATTATTAATTTAGCTAACCGGATACAGTAAAGCCTCAATGTCATTGCCGTATGGTCAGAGTTAATCTCTAGCACATCCTCTAAACAGGCTAACCGGCATTAAACGAGTCCTCCGGGAACACATTATAACCGGCGCAGAGCTCCGGTGGAGACACTCCCGGGACCGAGCACCATCACTGACAATGCAACAGCTCCCCACAAAGAGTAGAAACTTAAATGCAAAACTCATCTTACCTTTCCTGCCATGCTAAAGCGAGCTGACCGTCAACTAGTCCCGTGCACTTCCTCCTGCGTGACGACACGCGCCGGTGCAGTGAAAGGAGGATAAAGAGGATCAGCTGGGCACGAGAGGTCAGCAGATCAGTGGCCTGTGCATGTCACGTCCATTCAATGATCGGATAATGTGTGTAGAGAATTTCTATATCTGTCTCTGTGACTTAAACTCGACCTACTCAGTGAAAGTGCCATAAAATCTTCCCTGCTGTGTTTTACCCTAATCCTACCAACAGCAGCAACAATCCGGCCAAGAAGGTATGGCCTACCTTTTGTCATATCACAGGTGCTTCGCCATAACTAAATCAATGTATTACTAATGATTACATACTATTGTTCTGTTTAAATTAGTTTTTTTTTAAATACCAATCTTTGGGCCCAAGGGCACCCGAGTCAAAAAGCTACCGATTCCATCGGTGTGGTTTTAATAGATGGACTTATTTATTGAGTAGGCCTACATGTTTGCCTTGGGTCACATACTATCAGAAAGGTAGGGGAACTGTGAGTCATTTTAAACAAGATTTTGCTGTAAAATAAATGCAGAAAACAGCAACATGCAAAGGGACTGTTAACAATGTGAGGGTAGTGGATGCTCTGGTTTATGGGGCTTTTTTATGTCTTTGCCTAGGGGCCCATTAGCTCATGCTCCATCCCACTGATAAAACCGCTTACTTGAAAAACTCACTATTATACTCACCAATCATAATTCCTATATAATTTTGGACCTCAAGTAGCAGCAAAGTAATTCAAAGTTTTTACTGCAATATTAAATTCAAACTTTATAATATATTTAAAGTGGATAATCTTCGAGTGGATTTATTATTATCCTCATTGGACTGTACTAGTCTGTAACTACTAAGGAACAGTGGTCTATAGACGTCAGAATAAAAACCTCAGTTCCTTCCTCTCACAGCCATTCTTTCTCCCAGTAAATGGTTCCTATACTTTATTTCCAGCTTTTTCCAGCCCATCTGTGCTTTGTGCCAGGAGGGAAAAAGGTGCAGAGAGAATTTTGTGACTACAAAAGCAAAGGTTAACATTACTCACAGCATAAAAACAATTTAAAAGGGAGCAAAAGGGCTCTAATGGCCCGACAGTCTTCAAAGAAAATGTATTTTGCGCTCAAAATAATTCATAGCTTTTTGCCGATGGCTTTTCAGCTTCCCGGAGACCCAGCATGAACCACTGTATTTTTCCCAGCAGGCTCTCTGCTCCTCGAAAAATGGCCTTCGCTCGGGCATAGCTCGCATCCCCCTCCAAATATTGACAGCACTGAGTCCATGGCTTATTGGAAAAATGGCTGTAAGTAATGTTTTATCAGCCGATGCAATCTCCACACCTGTATTTTCCCCTGTCGTATAACAATATTTGACAAGATTAATGATTTGAACCCATGACATTTTATTTCCCATCACTGTCAATCCGCCAGCAAACAACTCACTTACTTGTGGCATTTGGTGTGGTAAGCATGTAGCAGCATTTGCTTTGCTCGTGTATTATTCATGAACCGCACATTTTACTTGTAAACTAAAGTGTCTAACAGCTCTGACATGAAATTCTAGACTGTTTATGAGGATTGAAATCTTTAGAAATTACCTTCATTTAAATGATTTTTTTGTTTAGAGCAGGTTTTTAGCCTTTATTTTTAGCCATCACACAAACAATGTCAGCCGCCACAGAGTAAGTGGGTAATAATGATAAACCTTGCGACCTTTGAACTTCAATGGCTTGAGGGGTCTCCTGTCCGCGTCCCCAAGGGCCCACGCGTCCTGACAGCCTGAGCGATGAGTGGCGGACGGCTGTCTCGATCAGCCTCCTCCTATTTTTAACCCACACTAAACACAAGGTTTCCAAAATAGACCCGAGCTCTAAACAAATGATTAATAGGGCACTTAGGTCTCCTCACTGACCAGCGAGTCCCTATTAACAGCCAATAACGGAGGCCCTCCGAGGTCAAAAGGTTTAAAGACTTTCTAATAAAAGTAACAGAGACATGGGGATGTGTTTTGCAGGAAAAAAAGTTGTGTCTCAGTTTGAAATGCTGACAAGTTAATAATCCCTTCTCAAATGGCCCTACCACAGTAAAATGGCCAGTTTGTTCTTACTTTTATTGCTATCATCTGTCAGTCACTCAAATCTTTCTCTTTTTTTTCCTGCTTCTTCGTAAGTGGACTGAAAGAGCTAAAACAGCTTTACAGTAATGTTCTCGCTGGGGCTTTATTCTCATTTCCCATTCTTTCTTCTCTTTTTTGGATGAATTTTGAATTCTTATTGTAGTTTTAGGCAGGAAACGCCTAATGGATTCCCAAAGAAGTATTCATGACATGGTAATGAGATTCAAATTCGTAAGACATTTTTTACCTGAAAAAAAAGACAGTTTGTGGCAGTGGCTTTGTCCTGTTTTCCACAGCTCAAGATTACAGTTTCCCAGTCACTCTACTTTCCCTAATGTCATTTTAAAATGTATTGGATGGAGACACAAAGCCAAAGAGTACTAAAATGTGAAAACAACTGAAAAATATGTTTGATTCACTTTCTGTCAAAACCACGCATCCTGGGGTTGATGAAGAGCATGTGGAAAGATGCACACATTATATTGTTTACTTTGAATCAGAATCAGAATAAGAATGTGTTGCTTAGGGTGTAAACCATCTGTTTTTCAAAACAAAACAATTACCATAATTACATATGAAATCTGATTAGACACATTGTGAAATTTAGCAATGTAAACACTAGATTACTTTTACCAAACGTGTTTTTCTACAAGCCTTAAAAATCATCAATTGTACATATGTATTAATTTGCTGCTGAGATACTCCAAAAGATATGCACTGTTTACTTCTGTTTGGAACGAAAAGACTTGAGGATAAGTTCCACAGATAAGGTTTAAGTTACGAATGGAGAGACAGATCAACACATTGTTGGTTATAGTCTTGTTGTGGGATTTGATGACAGTAAGATTGCTATGATTATATCAGATTTATCTTTTCAAACATTTCTCAAAAGTTGCAGATGTACTACTAAAAGCATGAAAGTACATACATGCAAGGGTTCATTGAATAGTGAATGGTTTCAAATCTACCTCAAGGCAAAAAGGAAACATGTTTTTTATGAGCTACAGACCATGTAATGTGCTGCAGAGAAAGATTTATAACCACTTGTATTGTGATATATCACTTTATGGGCGCACATAGCAGAATACTTTTCTAAAACATTTAAAAGTGGAGATAAAGGTTTTATTTTTCTACTGTCAGATTGACCAATTCCAAATGTATGTCCCCAATTTGGGTGGCCCTGTCCTAACCGTCTATGTTCCTAACCCACATCTGAATTCCTCCAAGAATCCCGTTTCTGTTTTGTACAATCTCAGCTTTTTTTTTTAGACCTTTCATTTGTGAGAAGCTGAATGTCTTGCTTAAGGACACATCAGCATGACACATGGCTGTTGATGGACATAGTGGCTAGAAACCTGCAACCACTTGATTATTACCATGTTACTTCCCCTCTAATTAAGATTGTTTCATGTGAGAGCCAAGAATGACGCCGGAGTTGTTCCAGTTAAGCTCAGTATTTGGAAGACGCAAGTTCTGAGATTGTGCAAAGACAAACCATTGTAAGCTTCACACTTGCCAAAGTGTGAGTTTTAAATAACATCAAAGTGTCACGAAAACCACACAGTGCACACTGCCCAGATAGCGCTGGACGAAAAATCTGTTTTGCATCGGACAAGAAGGTGACAAGAAGAGAAATGATCGGAGAAATTATCATGGTGAGGGCATTTTTATAAAATCATCATAATCCATCTAATATATAAGACAAAAAAGTTATTTGTATATTTATTTTGACTGTTTATGTTTCTTTCCTTCTTCTTGAATTGTGGAGTTCATCATCTTTAAAATAAACAGTATTTGTGCCAATACATAAAGCTCTTATGTCCTTTCTTCATCAGTCACATATTAGCAAAATAATGGAGTTCTCTCGATATACAAAGTCTCTGCTGTCTGTCTAACAACAAAACACTGCCTATTATAATCTACTTTCATTTCTCCAATCAGTAAGTTGTCAAACACAGTACTATCCTTAATCATCACACATAACATGCACTGCATTAAAGTGGCATTCTTGTAAACACCATATCTGTAATAGTGTGTGACAAGCCGCCTTTGTTTACAGCATAATAACTGGGTGTTTGAATAACTTCTCAATGACTTAAAGTAACCAGCCAGACTCACTCTGCTTCCATTCAGCCGTGCAGCCTGATAAACTGGACTGACAGAGTGGACTGCGGATTACACCAAACACTCGGGCTGAATGGACTTCTGAGGCATTTCACCTGCGGTCTCGAGACATGAGAGTGCATTTCCTGCGCACACATTGGCGGATGTAGTGTACATCCGTTTGCCTCATTATGCAAATGTTGACGTGTGCATTCATAAACATGGAAAGAAAGCTAAAATCAGCCCCACCCACACATGCATTTATTCGAAGCACCAGCTTTGCTTTCTTTGCGGACGCTCCCCTCTTTTCCATCTGCCAACCTCAACTTCAAGGCGGGCTGTCTTCTCCGTAGCTTCTGGATGAATCTGTTTAGTATCTTTCAATTCAGATGAAGAGCTACACTAACCATGCTTCAGGGCATCTGGGATGGGCCGGGGGCCTGGTGAAGCCCGGGAAGGGGTGGATGGGAGCTTTGAGATGGTCCAGACAGGCTCAAGCTCCTCTCTTCCACAACAACAAGGACCCACACTGAAGCACGCTCAGACCCTGCAACCCGAGAGGGCACAGGGGTCCTCCAGCCTGCCTGGTTTGGGATAAATGAACCCAGATGCTTCCCACAAATGCAGAGCAACCACGCTGAAGGAATGAGGGCGGGGGGAGTAGGTGGTAGAGGCAGAAAAAGTGGGGGCTTACCTCTTTTTTTTTCTTCCTCCCCTAGTTGAGGCAGTTATCTATCAGATTCCTGCGCTTTCTCATAACCACTGATCACAGAGGCCTCCGTGCAAGGA